CTTCCACTGCCTATCGCCTGTATCCAGAACAAAATCATTCATCCGGCCATACACCCACGTCAAACGGAGCCCCAACACGACCGGCACACGGCTCGAGGTGCGAACATTCGGATCCCACAAGCTGTGGGGCGTCTGATCATCGATACGCACGTGCCAGGTCGGGACACTTCGGCACGCGGAGCATAGCGCCAAGCACACACATTGCAGCTGCAGCGTAGACTTGTACCAGTGCCCCCTCCTCCCGCCGTAAGCTTGGTGCAAGGTGATGGCGAAGGCGTCAAGACAACGAGACCCGCCTGCACTTCGTCGGCGATCCAGACGGAAAAGGGTGGACAAAACAAACGTAAACTAATGACTGTGCAAAGGAGACAGGTTCATTCACCAGACGAAATACTGCCTCAAACTTTACAACACCACCTCATCGATGGAGCTTGTCCAAATCAGAGGTGAATTCACGTTGCTCCAAGAGTAAGCCTAAGCACTACCACGCCAGGTAATGATGCAAAAGGAGGCAAAAAACATGCAGCGATGTCGTGGCAAGACAAAGACTCGTCCCGAACTCTACATGGCTAGCCAGTCCTGCACACGGGGCTGAAGAAGCAAAGCTTGGATCTGCGCAAGTGCATTTCCACCATGCCCGGGTTAAACAAGACGTCGTTAAGGCACTCCTCGTTGACCCATTCCCGTTCATTTACAACGTAAGCTCGATGTGCAAAGCGAATATTGACCAGGACAATGATGTCAATAAAAGCGTGCAGTCTCCTGCACCACAGCGTGTCTCAGGTACACAAGAGCTTCCTCAATATTACTACAAGTACGTCACACGGGTTCTGAATCTGGCAGGAAGGCTACTTTTTGAGCATACATGCCAAAAGATTGAGAATCTACTTCCTGAGGGTTTGTTTTCCTGAGAGAGTGATGGCTAACGACTAGGTACACAAAACATTGTGGACGTACTACACATCATGGTAGCAGAGCGACAACCATGTCCAGCAGAGACAGTTGCTTGCTGATGGACGAAAGAGGGGCAACACGCCCACCACGCAGCAACATGGGAGTGAGAAAGGACGTCGTTGGCAATCGGGTGGAACTTCAAGAAATCCCCCAATCAGGAGAACGTATTTTCTGCTACCCCAAGATTGTCTCGTGATTGCGTCCACCAAGGCCTCAGAACTCCTCCTGTGTCTCGTCACCAAGGTCATGGCTCTGACAAACGTCGGTCGCGCACAAATACTATCTAACAGCTTGCCAAAAGGAATCACGGGAAGGCAATGCTAACGTATTCTCGAGGCGATTTCTATACTCGAATGTACCTGGATGCGGTGATCGCTTGCCAGTGTTGGCGCTTTCGTTGTCGATGACACCACCACCGCTGCTGCCGGTTGGAGGCTTTCCACCGCTGCCGTCGGACACCAATGAAGAGGTGCCGATAGGTGGTGAGCCCCAGCAACCCCCACAGTCGCTGGGTGAAGGACCGGGAGGCGAACGTTCCCTCGAAGCTGGTGGGTCTGGTGAGGATGGGGCGATCATTCTGGACGTGTCGAGCGTGACCATTGCTCTAGCGTCACTTTCACGGTCTCGGTTTCTGGCATTCCCTGGAATTTGAAGGACGAGCTCATCTGGAACAGGGGCAATAACCAAGAGGGCACACATGTGAATGCACACCGTCTGAAACCAGCTAAGGCACGGAGGGACAAGGAGAAGACTGTGAACAACATGCCCAGTGGGCACACGGAAATGTTTCCTCGTGGTACTGCATAACAACTGACACGGTGCTGTGAACGGCTGTGCTAAAGAAGGTAGCAAATGAAAAACCGTACGAACTTGTGCCGCAAGCCTTCATGGAAACACGAAGCCACAGACTGCAGGTCCAGACTTTGTTTGATGTTCTGCGACTATCCTCTCACAGGGATTCCTTCCGGTTCGGTTGTATGGTCGGTTTCGTAAGCCGCCATGCACCGAGATGTATGAATGTTGCCCAACGATCCATGTCCACTGCACTGTGCAGACAGCGTTTCCGTTTCCATTTATTAGCGAAGCGCTCGTATTAAAAAAACTACACTGCTGTAACGAAGGTTTCCAACAAACGCTGGAAAACACACCCCTTCACCGCCGACCCAGGCTGGCCACAAAATATTCTCTTGTGACAGCTTGTCGAATTTGTGTGTATGGATGTTTGCCCCACAAAATGTGGCGCCAGTTCACGTTCATTTCGATTTATATGTTTGACGTCCCAGCCAGCCGGGGTCACACAGAGGAAAGCCACACAGGAACTTTTTGTCTTTTTTTGCTCCACCTTTCCTTCTGCCGTACTTGCCTTAGTGATAACGCTTAAAAGGATCCCTCCGCCCCTTCCCGACGTCGACCGTAACGTCGAACTGTTCATAGTCTAAGCTCACAGAATTTTCCGATTTCTGCTGCAAAGTGCAGGCAAAGAAACCCTCCACAGAAAAAATCGGACCCTCAACCAGGTACTAAATATGTTGCGAGTTTAACCTCTATACCAACCGAAATGAACTGACCGGTCAGTGTATGTATGGACACAATCGAATCGAGAGTCCCATATGTAAACCAACCCTACCTGGGAGGGTTCTGAGTGGTACCCCAACGGTTTTCCCTCTCTCTCAATGTCGAGAAAATATCTACTAGATGAGGGCCACGTCGACCACTCTCTCCAAACACCGTATTTTATGACGAGCTTCGGGAGAAAAGCGGCCCACGCCTATGCCGAGGTGTTGCATCTACAAGAGTTGGACCTTGTCTACAGCTCCGCAAAACAGGGAACGCAGTGCGAGCTTGAGCTGCAGACTGTTGAGCACAACAGATTTAAGTCAAGAACGGCGGTCGAGCTAGAGTGCAAACACGAAAGAGAGGGAGAGAGAGAGAGAGAGAGAGAGAGAGAGAGAGAGAGAGAGAGAAAGGGAGGAGAGTTTCCGCTGAGCCACGCTTCTCACGAGGTCGTAGCTGTACGGCTCTCGGCCCATGTTTGTTTTCGGAAGGACTCCAATGCTTATGAACCCCACCAGCGGTCGTTTTGAGTCAACATTCGTTCACGCTTCACCTTCAATAGTCCGTGATGATTCAGTGTCCATCGCGACACGAGGGTATCGCTAGGAAGAGCTGCGATTTTCTCGCCGCGGGGAGGGTACAGTCGCGTCAGGGTTACGTGCAGAAGGGGTAGACCGGTACGAGCCTTTCTGAAAACCTTGGCAGTCTCTTGGTTGTGGAGGAATCGAGCTTGAGATGAAGTCGAGGGTGTGTGTACACCACCCCTCGCGCCGTACGCAAGCGTGGTGTCTGGAATGGTTGGACTCGCTCACTGGCGATCGCCACGAGGCGGGTTTTCGAGGCAGTCTGAAAATTGGAGGTATGCTACAGTTAGGGGTGCCACTCGGGCCTATTTTGGCGGCAAAAAAGTGACCGGCGGTCTATGCGAGGATTTTGGGAAAAAAAGGGGGGGCACGCGGATTGTTGGTTCTCAGCTCGGCTCTTGAAATCATACCGATCAAAGTATACTTTATCCTCCGAATGTTTGTTCAAGAGTCCCTGCGTCCAGGAAGCGATCTGGCTCTTCATACGTTACACACATCTGGAGACAGGTCATCTACACGTGACTGCGGGTTCGTTTTCTACTGACGTTCAAAGGGCGGGCGAACAACACAGAAAACCCTATGAAATCCGGTTTGAAGGCTAACGCTCGTGGCCGCGTTTGGTGATCGTAGAACAGCGGATCCGCAGCGCACAGCCTCGGGTTTTCAGCGACACAACGCAAGAAACCGAACTAGAATCGCACAAACTACCAGCGAGAACCGCATGTCTGAAACTATGGCCAGTCAAGCACGCCAAGCACCGCGGTCGAGGTCCCCCAAAAACGCAAACGCTCGGCCTTCGGCGCGGGAGGAAAAAATCGATTTCGTCGCAACCTCAAGAAAAACGAACGCAAATACATAGAGCGGGAGGGGCGGACCTTTGCCGACGCGGCCGGAGCAGCGCACACACAGCGCGCGGTCGAAAGGGGCGGTGTTGCCGTCGCGCAGAAAGCGCTGGTAGAAAAGGAGCAGGAGTTGATCGAAAGTAGACAGCGCGAGGCGGCGAGCGCCGCTGGGTGCAGCATTGCTCAGGAGCGTTCTATGTGATTTGATTGGCTCGAGCGATTTTCCATCTGGAAGATCCAGGTCACTTTTTGAATTTTTTTCCTATAGGAAATTTGACCGATTGGCACCCCTAACAGTATACACCTATGCACAACATTGATGTCTACATATCCCCCCTCCGGGTTGCGGGCAATTCGCATGGACCTCCCTTTTAGACTATCACACCCTAGAATGCTCGGAAACCCGCGTCCGCACTCGGTAATGAATAGAAGTACTATGTGACCAGCTTATTGGTTGGGCGGTGAGCAAAAAGAATTACCTCTCTTTTCCCATGTTCTTGAAATTGGACAAGAAAATAAAAAAAAGTTGGCGAGACGGACCCTCTGCCCCGATATCCAACGTAAGTAATGCGTATACTGTCAAACCTCAGGCTTGAAGCCCGTGCGCCCTCTTCGGTAGCGTCAACCAACGTGGGCCCGACGTTGTGGTCGTCGCATACTGCACTTCTCAGCCAACAAAAAGGCAAGGATGAACTTTCACCTCTTCCCTTCTTGGACATACCGTAGCAGGCTGGGACCTTCGAATGTGGCCGACCGTGCACACACGTTCATTCCCGCATCTTACCTGCGTCGGTGCAGTGAGACTGTCGGCCAAGCAATGGGCGTGAGCAACTCGTCCCCATGGCGGCCCGAGAGTTGGAAGAGAATTTTCGCCGGGGTAGTCTAAGCTTTTGGTACGATATTCCGCCGAGGGTTGACCTACGAGGACCCCTCCTGCGCAAGCGTACAGCAGTGGTGCAACGGGAAACTTTGAGAGAGGTGGCGGCTGACGGGCAGCGATAGAGGGGAGGTGCTGTGTGCCGGGAAGAGCAATCGTGTTCTTGCGAGGATGGTACTCTACACGAGAGGTCCGCGGCACTGCACGATTGTCCCACGAGCTTGTCCTAGCGTGCCCCGTTTCAGGGAAGAGGCGTTGCTGCTTGTCATTCATGTCTATAACGGCGTCGGCCAATCAAAGAGGTTGACGATGGTCATCCCTGCCCCAGACCCCGGACCTCTCTCGTGTAGAGTACCATCGCAAAGACATTTGCTCTTCCCGGTACCGAACGCCTGTCCCCTCTATCGCTGCCCGTCACCCGCCACCTCTTCCAAAGTTTCCCGTCGCACCGCAGCTAGCTAGTGTAGCACTGGGGTTCCTCATAGGTCAGCCGGCGGCGGAATATCGCAGCTTTCGGCGAAATCTCTCTTCCAACTTTTCGGGCCGCGATGGGGGCGAGTTGCTCACACCCGTCACTTGGGCAGCGGTCTCACTACACAAATACCGGTAAGATTCGGGAGTGAGGTTGCGCGCGGTCGCCACTTTCGATATGATGCGTTTCTGCTACGTGCAAGAGGACAAGGGTAGACGAAGTGCAAAACGCTTGCCTACATTTTGGTGGTGGCGTGGTGTGTGGAGAAGTCAGCGTTCAGCAACCCCCGGCGGTTGCAAATACAGTAGCGGCTACGGTTTAAGAGAACTTATTTAAGAGAAAGTACGGATTCAAGAGAGAGGAATTGGCTTGTACCAATCAAAATCGATTTAAGAGAAATTTCCTATTGCAGCTGGGATTTTTCTCTTAAATCGAACAATATGGAAACCACGTGGACACCCACACACATCACACACCCACACAGCTGCAGACACCATGCCCTGCGCGGCGGGCAGTCGCTGCACGGCTGTCCCCGATCACACGCCAGGCCCGCCGGCGTTCACAAATCACCAATGTAGAGGAGTCTGCGGGCAGTACCTCCATGGCACCTGTGGTGTGGTGGACCCTCAGGGCACCTCCGAGATGCATCGCATCTGCCACAACTGCCTGTCCTCCCGTTGGTTTCTTGGGTTTGTGTTATTTGTACGGCGAGTGATGTTTTGATATTGTGAAGCTCTTTTTTTTTCGTTGACTTGTGTTTTTGTCGGGGGTTTAAATCGATGGGATGAGAGGTATGAGGGTGTTATGTTGAGGGTACGGTGGGAGGAAGGGGTGCATTGTGTAAACGGGTGCGTCGTTCTTGAGTGCTGGTGCATTCGTTGCCTCGTGTTGTCCTTCTAGAAGAGGTGCGACTATGAAACACAGCTATAAAACAACTCAACCAAAAACCTTTTACGTGTCCACGTGCAAAATGTGCATCGCATCACACAACGATGATTTATTTTCCGAACGCAGATCCACCAAAAGCGTACCACGTACAGCAGTACTTGGGTCCACGTGCTTGCCAACCAAGAGAATGAGCGGTGTTTGGAGGTAGCCCGACGTGGTAACGCTAGCTGCGCAAGTGACATGCATGATACGCTCTCTTCATGACCTATTTTGGCATTCGAGTGTAGTCAGTGCGCGAGAGTCCCTGTTTCACGACCTTTAGTTTTGTCTACGATATAAGAGAATATTCTCTTATAGTGAGATACTGTTTAAGAGAATTCTCTCTTATACCGTAGCCAACACGATATAACAGAAAGCCGGATTTAAGAGAGTGAAATTGGCTTGTACCGACCCTCTCTTAAACCGTAGCCGCTACTGTACACATTTCGGTTGATTCTACAGCAGTCGAGGGCAGGTCTGTTTAAGAGGTGGATTAGGTAGCTTGGTGAGGATCTCCTTCGCCAAAGTAGGATATCAGAAAGGGCTCTCTCCTGCGAGTGTTTGGGTAATGCAACGTTCGACGACGACGACGCGGGGGACGGCGCGCATCCTTCGGAACGTGCGGCAAAAGCAGCTGCCGCTCGATCAGCGACTGATGAGCGCCGGGGTTCGCGAGCATGATGGCCAAGAGCAAGGAAAACGTCTCCGAAATCCTAAGGACGGTTCCACACGCGAAGGCCATGGAGATCCAGGCTGACCTCGACAAGTGGGTGAGGTTCCAGCTCGCGGAGGCTACCGGACAGAACAGCGCCAAGAATCCCGCGCAGGTCAAGAAGGCTTGAAGGCCTAAGAAATCAAAGTCGGGAGAACGACAGGAGAAGCGCGGTGATGGCAATGGTGCGCCGCCAGGGCAGACCGGCTCTGCTAAGCCGGTCGGTAACCCGCAAGGGCGGATGGACAAGAGCCGCAGGGCCAAAAGGATGAGAGACTCAGCTGGGCCTGGGTCTGGGGGTCCTAGCCGTAGGATTAAGAAGGAGGACGACTCGTAGTGCTTAACACGTAGCGCCGTAAACTTGAGCGGCCCCGAGTGAATGAAGGTCCAGCTTGAGCGTATCTCGATGTCGTTGTATTCAATGATACCTCCTGTGTTGCGAGGTATGGAACGGTGATTTTCTTCCTCCGTTGATTGTCGGCGCCTCCGTGTTTGCGGGTGCACAGACGACGATAGGCGACCTACTTATGCGGCTTATGCGCAGGTTGTCCTTCAACAACGCCAGCCTACCTCTCCCTTCAGTCCTCGTGTCACGGGGGTAGCGCTACGTAGCATCAGGCTTCGTGTCGTCTGGGTGTCAAACAGTCGTCTGGGTGTGAAACAAAGCGCGGAAACAAAGATCTAAGATACTGCCCACAATTCACGTATGCGAAATTAACGTTGTCCCCTCCCCCTAGCCCTGCGAGCAATTCCATCCGCGCCGTGTGTGCCGAGAAACGGGCGGTGTCGTCTATAAGCTTATCTACGACACCGCCCTCGGGGACACCGTCCCGCCGGGTGTAGGCGTACCATGGCACTGACTGGGTGGATTTCGCCCCACAGCGGCTTGAACGATAG